TTTTCACAATAAACTAATTAAATATATCCTCACTTGCAACAAACAACCAATTCTTACAACAATAAACTGCTAATTGCTTGGTGAGTTCTTGCGTAATACAATAGTGGAGTTTTTCATATATACAAACTCGAATCGGGGATTCCCCAAGCATCAACAAGTATTACCAACATAAATTTTAAGCAGTGTTGCCGTTTGAGAAAGAAAAAAATACACCAAACTCATTTCAAAATTGCTCTAAATTTTAGCTGTGAATTTTTAATGGCAGTAAGAGAAGATGTGTTTTTATGTGAATTTATTTAACCATTATTAACCATTATTAAAATTTAAATTATTACATTTATCAAAATCAACTGAATTAAATAACTGAATATCTTTCTGGTCATCATTACGTTCGGGTGCGGTTGGTGTGCCTTCACCAGATGCCGTTTCTTTTTTTACAGTTTTAGTCATTTTCTTCAAACCGTGTTCAGGCAACATAAAAGTGTGGCAATTTTTCTTAAGAACTTTCAACTGATGACGTATCATTATAATTGAACTCTGTTAGTAAAATCAGAGACAGTCAAAACATAACACTTTAATGTAAAAAAGAGACAAAATAATAAACGCATCAATAACATTGTGGTCGGGGAATACTAAATCCTTTGGGGAATTCCCAGCTCGTTATTTTCCTAACGTTTTACGGCTCTGGCAATTAACTTATTGGCTTAAATTTACGATCGTCAATAATTTTTACAATTTTTTATAGATTCCGAAAAATATTTTTTAGCGCATTGTATTGAGAAAAAAAGCGCTGAAGAGTTTAGAATTGCACTATCTAGCGCGAAATGCGCTAAAACGGCAACACTGATTTTAATGCCGGCAGTATACTTAGTCTCAGCGAGACACCCTGAGACATGCCCAGTGAATATAAATGTAAACCAATATACACATTTTTGAGGTATGTTTGTACACACATGTTTCCGAAATTATTACGAGTAGTAGTCACTTGGAACGCCAACGGCTTGACGGAACGACGCCAAGAACTAGAAACTTTCCTCAGAACAGAGATGATTGATATTGCACTAATCTCTGAAACAAGATTCACACCGAAGACACACATACAATTTAATAACTATACAGTATACACAACCAATCACCCAACTGGGAACAGCCATGGAGGAACAGCAGTAATTATTAAAAGCAATATTAAACACTACCCCATAGAGGAATATCGAACAGAAAAAATTCAAGCAACATCTATTAAACTTGTAGACAGCAAACTAGAAACGGTATTCTCCGCTGTGTATTGCCCTCCAAAACATACTATATCTGCCAACGACTTCACAAAATATTTTTCTACCCTGGGTAACAGATTCATATGTGCTGGCGACTGGAATTCCAAACATTTAAATTGGGGATCTAGGCTGACCAACACTAGAGGAAGACAACTTTATAAAGCCACAGGAGAGATGAAGTTAGAATGTCTCTCTGGTGGAGAACCTACCTATTGGCCTACCGACAGACAAAGAATCCCAGACTTATTGGACTTTTTTATTGTTAAAAACATAGATAGTAACTACTTAAATATAGAACCACGAATAGATCTCACATCTGACCACACACCAGTTATACTGAATGTCACTACAACAGTTAATTTTGTATCACCGTCCCCAAGAATATACAACTTGAACACTACAGACTGGACAATCTATAAAAATATAATCACGACAGAGACAGAGCTAAAGACCAAAATTAATACAATAGAAGATCTCGAAAGACAACTGGAACAACTTAATATGACTATCCACATTGCTGCCAATTTTGCTACTCCAAAGAGGACAGGTAAAGGACAACCTCTGAAACACAACTCATATCCAAAGGATATCAAAGAGAAAATACAAGAGCGCCGTCGTTTGAGAAGAATCTGGCATACTACAGGTTATCCAAGTGATAAAGCTGCATTCAATAAATTCTCAAATGAACTCAAAGTCCTTATCAGCACGCTAGAAAATGATAGCATTCAACACTATCTTTTAAACCTAGATTCAACGAGAGACACAAACTACTCGCTGTGGAAGGCTACCAAGAATCTAAAGCGCCCGAAAATCCACATATCACCTGTCAACAATGAAAAAGGAGGATGGGCTAGATCAGATAAAGAAAAGGCAACAATCTTTGCGGAACATTTGAAAACAGTTTTCCAACCATTCCCTGAAAGCAATCCCGAACAAACTGTAGAAATCAAGGAATACCTTAAATCTGCGAATCAAATGTGCCTTCCACTAAAAAGTACCAGCCCAAAAGAAATTGTAAAAGAAATAAAGAATCTCAAGGAAGGTAAAGCACCTGGCTATGACCTTATTGATGCCACATTACTTAAAAACCTGCCTCATGAAGGTGTAATGAAATTAGTTAACATCTTTAATGCCAGCTTAAGACTCGAACATTTCCCTGGGCAATGGAAAATTGCACATGTAGTCATGGTACCGAAACCCGGTAAACCCCCACACGAAGCAAGTTCCTACAGACCTATCAGCCTGCTACCAGTTATTGGCAAACTGTTTGAGAGGATATTGCTTAACAGGATGAAAGAACATTTAAGTACAGCATTACCGAACCACCAATTTGGATTCCGGGAAAAGCACGGGACAATTGAACAGGTACACCGTATAATTGACACCATTAGCAGATGCCTAGAAAACAAATTATATTGCTCTGCAGTCTTTTTGGATATCAGCCAAGCGTTTGATAAGGTATGGCATGACGGCCTCCTATTCAAGCTAAAGAAGCAACTCCCGCATTGTCTATTCCGAATACTTAAATCCTACTTAGATAAAAGATGCTACCAAGTGAAGTACGGCGATGATCTCTCAGAAGTGCACGAAATAAAATCAGGTGTCCCTCAGGGCAGTATCTTGGGCCCTATACTATACCTCATTTTTACAGCAGATATCCCAACAACTGACTACACCACGACTGCGACATACGCTGATGATACGGCGCTATTGTCGGCTCATAGCAACCCAGAAACGGCATCATTACAGTTGCAAAACCACCTGACTGAAGTTGAGATGTGGCTGAAGCGTTGGAGAATAAAAGCCAATGAGAGCAAATCGGTACATGTAACATTTACACTTAGGAGAGAAACATGTCCACCGGTAACGCTAAACTGCAAAGTTATCCCTCAAGATAATAACGCTAAATATTTGGGCATGCACTTAGACAGGAAACTTACATGGCAAAAACATATTTGGACAAAGCGCAAACAACTAGATGGAAAGCTGCGGTCACTGTACTGGTTATTGGGACGCCAATCACAACTAAATCCTAACAGCAAGATGTTAGTGTACAAAACTATCATAAAACCAATCTGGACTTACGGAATACAACTGTGGGGAACGGCCAGCAACAGTAATATAGATATCCTGGAGAGATTCCAGACCAAAGCTCTGAGAACAATGCTTGGCATCCCTCATTGTATAAGTAATAGATACATATACCTCGACCTCGGCCTAAAAACAGTTCGGCAGGAAATAGCTCAGAACAGTCTGAGATATCAGGAGAAACTGACCGTCCATGTAAACAAACTGGCACACGCTCTGAGTGGAGAAGACGCTCTTCAGCACACCCGGCTAAAAAGAAGTGATATACCGACCCTACATAAAAGATTTACCACTTGACATCAAGAGAGTCGTGTGAAAAGTATTCTCACACAAGTATGGCTCTTGAAGAAAACATAAACAGAGAAATCAAACAAAGAAGTGGCTTATTGTTGAAAAACAGATTGCCATGAAGCAGACATCAACAAAAAAAAAAAAAAAAAAAAAAAGGGTAATTGGATTTTGACCATTCTTTCTAAAACTGGGTTAAATTTTTTTTTTACTAATGCATTGAAAGTTTAATACCTAGGTATATTTTTTTTACTTGTGTATGCAACTAAGAAGGTAACAAATAAATTAAAGACAAAACTTTTTTTTTACTTAAGTAATGTGTATGTGTAATAATAAATGTTGGGAATTGAGATTTCCTCTGACCGGGGGCCCCTTCGGGCTGGGGGCCCGTGGCATTTTGCCGACTTGCCACCCTATAGTTACGCCACTGCCGCTAGTATATATATATAACTCAAAGGTGACTGACTGACTCACATAGTGATCTATTAACGCACAGCCCAAACCACTGGACGGATCGGGCTGAAATTTGGCATGCATGTAGATGTTTTGTCGTAGGCATCCGCTAAGAAAGGATTTTGGTCAATTCTACCCCCAAGGGGATAAAATAAGGAATGAAAGTTTGTATGAAACAATTTTAAACCGATCGGGCTGAGATTTTGCATGCAGGTATAAGAAGAATTATAGATGAATGTCATTGTGTATAATACGCCTGAGAACAAAAACTGTAGTCTACACTTCAGCTCTACACCGAAGCGAAACGAGGGCGGGCCGCTAGTATACTATAATAAGTGGAGTCCAGTCGCGGAGATATATGATGCAGCAGAAGGTGTGCCGCTCCAGTCATCCTCACCTAGCCGGTCTGAATTGAATCCAATCCTCTACCCCGAGGAGCCCTGGAACCCTACTCACCAGCAGAAATACAACACCAGCAGAGATATAACATCACCAAAAGGTAGTGTTATTTTACTGTGATCTTCAGTAATCTACTCAGGCTATCCGCTATGGCCTTAACTCTTTTCTTTGTCGTACTATTCGCAAGTGGAATTCTTTGCCCGTGCACGTGTACCCTCCTTCCTACAATCTGGGGTCCTTTAAGAGAGGCATGAAGAAGCATTTTTTCAGCCTACCTCTGTTATGTATTTACATTTATAAGGTCATAGTGCTGTCGTAGGACACTACAGAATAGTTTTTCGGTAATTTGGAGAGTATGCTTCCCCTGGCAGGCGCTCCAAGTAAGGAAAAAGACGGCTGTGTGTCTATCTCTTTCGCCTCTCATTTTAGTAACCGTAGTCGCACAGGTAAAATAAAGCAATTATCTTATTTTATAGTAAATAGTTTATTCAATAAATATTGGCATTTGAGAATTATTTAATCTTACGTGTTAGGAAAAATATAATTAGTTTGATAATAAAGAACAACAGGCGATAGGTTATTTTAAAAATGTATGCAATAAAATAAAAACTACTTTAAACCTTAGTATCCACTTTTTTGCTTAATGAATGTTGGTACATGTAATTTATGAAACGTTCCCAGGATCTTGCAGCGTCGTCTCCCACGGCCACATCTTTCTTCAGTATTTCCATCAGAATTGTCTTTATTTCCTAAACAAAGAAAGGACATTTTGGATATAAAGATTCATATTTCAATGGGGAGTGTCGCTTTAACCTCTACAATTACAACCGCATAGGGTTTATTGACACTGACGTTGCCGTAAGTGTTGTTATAATATAGTAATCAAATCAAAATTCAATTATGCAGTCTAGACTGTATGGACTTGTGAATGTTGTGAAGGTCGAGAAACTACGATATGAGATCGTATATAAGTGAGATTGCATCTTACAGAATACCTAAGAAGTTAGATTATCAAAAAATAATGGACACTTATTTTTTCTTTTGCCAATCAGCTAAAAAATTACAAAGATAAAGCGCGTGAACGTTTGGGAGTGGGAGCTCGCTCGTAACGTCACTTCTAAGTTTGTAGCAAGACGTGACATCATACGATATTCTAAATCAGTATATCTGTTTTGATTATATGAATATATATCCTGGCCATTAAGTGTTTATCAAACACCTCCACTTCGGAGGGCACACCAACAAAATGTCCTTCTCTGGCATTAGAGTCCGGTCAAATAAGACAGAAAAATAAAAGCATAAATTCCCATCAAGCTGAAAGTGAGTACAATTGTTCAAAACATAATTAAAAATAACATATCAAAATTCCCCATCGTTCCGGTACATGGAAAAAAATACTCGAGGTCAAAGGTAAAAAAAAATTTTTCGTTATTTTCATCAAAACGGTGTAAGTTTTATCGCAAAATTACCTTAGAAAAAAATTGTACATCATAAAAGTATCTAATAAAAATGAATAGTTTGTAAAACTGAAAACACGCTTTTACTTACTGCACTAAAAAGTCAAAAATATACTCACTGTTTACTTCATTAGGGCTTTAGAGTAAGCCATGTTTATAGTTATATCTATCTATCTATATATCTTAAAATCAACTATAAACATGGCTTACTCTTAAGTCCTAATGAATTAAACAGAGAGTATATTTTGTTTATTTTTGACTTTTTAGTGCAGTAAGTAAAAGCGTGTTTTTAGTTTTTTAAACTTGTATTTATTTTTCTCTTTTTAGTTTATGACAAAACATAGAACGAGCGTATTGAGACTGAATACGTATTATCTTCTCCATTTCCGATAAGGCTTCACTATTGCAAGACTTTTTTATTACCCCCCTTTAACGTGAAATAAACAGAATATATTAAGACGAATGTAAAGAGCCCAAACTCGATATGTTTACTAGTAGGCAGTCCAAGGTTCCATCAGTCACCTTCCAGTCTCATAATCAGATCAGCTCGATGGTACAATAATATTGTATTGTCATCTAATCTACATATAATTGCCCAGTTTTATTATGTTAAGATAATTCTCATGAGCCAGTCCAGGGTCCATCAGCCAACTTCCAGTCCATTATCAGGTCCTCGTCATCAGGAAAAATGAACAGAATATGTTAAAACGAATCTAATGAGCCTAAACTTGATATGTTTACTAGTAGGCAGTCCAGGATCCATCAGCCACCTTCCAGTCCGTCATCAGGTCCTCGTCATCAAGAGAAATGAACAGAATGTGTTAAGACAAATCTAATGAGCCCAAACTCGATATGTTTACTAGTAGACAGTCCAAGGTTGAATCAGCCACCTTCCAGTCCCATCATCAGATCAGCTCGGTGGTACCATAATATTGTATTGTCATCTAATCTACAAATACTTGCCAAGTTTAAAGCAAATCTGATCGCTTAAAGTTGGGCAAAATCGAGTCCAAACGAGTCAGTTATCTAAATACAAACAAACATACAGGTGAAACTAATAAAAGCGTGTTAAAAAGGTAATAATATTTTTTTTCTAAGAGCCACCGTCCCTGAGAAGTGAGAAGAGAAACAGAGTTATTTTACTGTGATTCCTGAAAGGTGGAGGATACTTGGGGAAGTATGGGGATACGAGTAGTGTTGCCAGGTGTCCCGATTTGCGCGGGACGTCCCGATTTTTAGGGGTCAGGAGACGCGTCCCGATTTGTACCTGATCGGGACACTAAATGTCCCGATTAATCAAAAAAATGAAATTAAGGTAATTAATATGATACTATACTTGCACTAGTAGTTTAAAACGCAATACTTTATACCTAGACTTAAAAACCCCTTGTTTTTTGTTTACTGTCCCGATATGCAATCCTAAATCCCGGTTTTTTTGACCTCTTGTACCGATTCAAAACATATCGGAACTGGCAACACTAGATACGAGAGTTCGGATTGCATCTTAATTAACATTACCTTTATTAAAGAAAATATAACTAAAAAAAATGTCCCGGTTTCAGACGGGTTTTAAGTCCAGGTCTTGGTTTCCTGCCCGAAACCTGGACAGAGTGTTTTTTTTCCAGTAATATTTTCTTTATATTTAAGCATCTAGCAATTAAATGCTTAAAAATATATTTATATTTTTTTTATTTACCACTTATTTATGATACCTACATCAAAATGCTTAGCGTCTACTTTGCGTTGGCGATGCGTCTCCCCCATCTTGGTCATCAGAACTTCAACCACTGCAGGCTGATCCAGGTTACAAACTACTGCGTTGAAAAACGACAGTACTGTGACCACGTGCGCTTTGAATTTATAGCTGCTCTTTATCTGACCCTCGTCCATGTCTTTTATCGTCGTGAAGTATGTCCGTGTGTCTGGGTTCATCCGGAACAACCTAACCAGGTGGTAAATCAACAAATTAGATTAAAGGATGTTGCGTCTATTTATTAATGCTATAGAGGACGGAAGTAGTTAGCGCGTTCGACCATGATCGTTGAAATTAAGCAGCTTCCGCAGTGGTTTTTCATTGGATGGGTGACCAAAAATTTTCTATCTCGATCTCCTCCGTGCTTCGGAAGGCACGTTAAGCCGTTGGTCCTGGCCGCATCTGTAGTCGTTAGCACACACCAATTCGCACTGGGCACGCGTGGTGAATCATGGCTCACATGGAAAGCCAGCAGTATGGACATTAATAGGCTTATGATGATGATAGAGGGCTGTCGGTCTCTTTTTTCTATTTGTTTTATAGCCAGGTAGGCAAAGGACTCTACCCCACCTTATGTTATATGGTGATAAAGACGAAACGCGAAAATAACTGGTACAGCAGTTATAAACTGCTACACCAATCATCCTCACCCTGCCGGCCTGCAAAGATGCTTATTCTTATTGTAGGAAGGAGGGAACACGTGCGCGGGTAAAGAATTCCACTTACAAATAGTACGACAAAAAAATGAGTCACCAGAGTCACTTTTTGGTGTTATCTATCGGCATAATAATGCCGGTACTGCTATTGCACTTTCCTTCACTACGGACATAAAGCATGGACCAAAACCCACCACGCGGATCTATTTATTTATTTATTAAATGTCATATTATATTTAAGATGGTACATTAAATTTTTGTTAGAAAATATGTGACGCCCTGCAAGGGCATAGCAAATATGAAGCCAGAGGGCTCGTTAAATTATATTATTATTTTATGAAACTATTATATTAAACTACTATATTTAAAGAAATAATATTATATAGATTATTCAAATTATAACTAACACAACATGCAATAAAATGTTATAAAATAAATTTAACAATGAAAACATGTCAATAATAAATACTAATAGACCAGGGTCGATAATTTTTGAGACCAAAAAAAATTATAGTAGGATGAAACCCATTAGAAAAGGTAGAGCATATAACAAAAATGAAAGGAAAAATAAATTACGGGCGATCTGAGGTCGGGAAGGGGGAGGGGGTGAGTTTTTAAGGGTAAAAATGGTTAATCTCGATTTCCGGTAAAACTGCAAGTCCTATGAAAAAAAATTAAATGGCAAAGTTGTAGGTAATAAAAAGATCTACAACTTTTGTAGCGACACTTTTTTCACATAACCTCAAAATTTATGTGAAAAATGCGAATAACCGAGTTTTTGGTTTTTGATTTTTATTTTTTGCAAAAAAAACTATTTTTTCACGAAATTGGTGAAAACTTACTTTTGTATGTCCTAAACATACAGTAATTTTTTTGATTTAAAACATTCATTTTTTCACCTTATTTTGACTTAATATCGAAAAAGCACCCTTATTTTTAATCGAAAATTCTCACGTCAAAATATCTGCTTTTTTAAAAAAGTTGGGGTGTTTTTTGTTTGTTGAAATCTCTACTTTCTGATGGTATAAAAAATATATACACTACTATGGTAAATGTTCTCAGAAACTGCAAATTAATAATCAAAAAAACTCCAATCCGAAAAATTGATTTGAATCATTATGTATAATTTTGAACTATTTATTAAAATTTACACTTTAATTACTCGAAAAACGTAAGATTTCATGTTATATTGATAAACAGAAAAATTACAAATCCATAAAACATGCAAAAATAGTTGTTGTAAGTAGGTATTAAAAATAGGATTTTCAGATTCGAGTTTTTTTCATTATTAATTTGCATTTTCTGAGAACATTTATCCTGGTAGTGTATATTTTTTTATACCATCAGAAAGTAGAGATTTCAACAAACAAAAAACACCCCAACTTTTTTAAAAAAGCAGATATTTTGACGTGAGAATTTTCGATTGAAAATTAGGGTGCTTTTTGGATATTAAGTCAAAATAAGGTGAAAAAATGAATATTTTAAATCAAAAAAATTACTGTATGTTTGGGACATATAAAGGTAAGTTTTCACCAAATTTCGTGAAAAAATAGTTTTTTTTTGCAAAAAATAAAAATCAAAAACCAAAAACTCGGTTATTCGCATTTTTCACATAAATTTTGAGGTTATGTGAAAAAAGTGTCGCTACAAAAGTTGTAGATCTTTTTATTACCTACAACTTTGCCATTTAAATTTTTTTCATAGGACTTGCAGTTTTAACGGAAATCGAGATTAACCATTTTTACCCTTAAAAACTCACCCCCTCTCCCTTCCCGACCTCAGATCGCCCGTAATTTATTTTTCCTTTCATTTTTCTTATATTCTCTATTTTTTCTAATGGGTTTCATCCTACTATAATTTTTTTTCACTTTTCACCATTTTTTAAATTATCGACCCTGGTCTATAACGACAACTTTAAACTTAATTACATTTGTCATCAAAAAAATCTTTTAGATTATAATAACTTTTTGGATAAGATATGATTTTAGTTGATTATTGCATTTTGCAGATATTTCTTTATTATTTATATAATTAGGTACATGATTATATTTTTTTATTGTCATAGCACGAGGACCATCCGAACCAATCTTAATTTGCTGTATGGCACTTCCAATTTATTTAAATACCTTTTATTCCTCTCAACATATAATATTGGTCAATAAAATTCTGGGTGTTTTCTTACAAATTTACATGATTCATGGATAAGTATGGATGCAATGGTCAAAATTCTATGTTTAATAAAATAAGGTCTACACGTTTCCATCTGATCAATGTTTGTCATTTTTTTATGCATTTCTTTTGCATATAAAAAAATTGTCTACTTCAGATGAGCTTACCCACAATATAACTATATGATAGTATTGAATGAGAATATGCATTGTAAGCAGTAAGAGTTTTTAAAATCAGTCACACGTTTTAATTGTTGAAGTGCATAAACAAAAGATGACATCTTTTTTACTAGCCTTTGTATGTGGCATTTCCAGTTTAAATGTGCATCCAACTCTATACCTATCAAAATAGCGGTATTGACAACATCGATCTTTGTGTCTCTTTGTATAATATTAGTGGCACTTTTTGGTAGGATCCAAATTGAATGAACTTAGTTTTGCTAAGGTTAAGTTGTAAATTGCGGCATTCTAGCCAGTTCATAATTTTATGAATGTAGAGTCTAGTTTCGGTTGTAATTCTAAAGCATTCGAGCAAGGTATTGAGATAGAGATATCATCAGAGAATAGCACACACATTTCTTCCAGTATATTTGGTAAATTATTACAATAGGCAAGGAAAATATTACATTCCAAAACATATCTTATTCATATTTGCATATTGCTTCATTTTGAATTAGCATATACATTAAAATACGTTAATCCCTGCCTCATTGAGCTCCACAGATGCCTTTTAGTTACAAATATTTAATTTTGTATTGTAGCCCTATAAGGTACCTCAGAAACATTTGCATCCCGTGTGTCTCCCCGTCCGCTTGGAGCGTTGCCCAGGTGCGTTTGATGTTGTGCACGTCGTGCTTAGAGAGCCCTGTTTCCGGATTTGGTAAGTCTGGTTCAGGATCCCCGCCCGAGCGCAGTCTGTCTAATAAACTTCCCATACCTGATGATGAAATACAATTGGATATATGCGGTACACTATATCAAAACTCGGTCCTCAAAATGTGTGATAGGTCCAAGAATATTGTTTGTTGTTTTAGTGGATTTACTGATAATGATTTGCACGAAATGAACGGGGAGGAGATTTCACATATCGTTACAACTCCCAGTGGCGAAGAAGATGTCAAGCGTTTCACAGAAAAAAAGGTGCCACTATATCAGTCAAAAAGACCGCGCTGCCAACCGCCCCAGTTACAACGGTTCCGAGTATGTGTGTACGTAGAAGACTGTAGTTTACTATGCAGTCAGTTTGATGCAGTCCATCCTGACTACTTCAAGCTGTCCGTGTATGGCCAGTCTAAAAGCCTATAAGGGAGTGTTAAGGATCTAAAGAAAATTGGGCCTGGACTTCACTGTCACGTATCATGGTGGGGTAGAGTAACTTGTCGGACCTATCTAAAAAAAACCATTTTGAGTTTTTCTGATTATAAATTACTAGCTGCCGCCCTCGACTTCGTCCGCGTTTACTTTATTTTGTTGAGAATCCGGTCATAAAGTATATGTATACCAAATTACATCCAAATCCGTTCAGTCGTTTTTGCATGATTGAGTAACAAATAGTAGTAGTAGGAAGCAGGATATTGCAGCTCTGTCTTGTGCTTCTTTCTTTGATCTTCTGCTAACTCCGCAATGTGGTCTAAGGATATGAATATAATTTATGAAATCACTAGCTGTCCGAGCGAACTTCGAACCGCCATGAAATAGGGTCTGGTGGTAGAAGGGTGAACATTTTTAGGATTGTATGTATTTTTGTATGATGTATCATAAAAAATAAACACAAAAAAAATTATCTAAAAAAAATAAAAAATAAAAATTTAAGGGTGGACCCTTAACATTTAGGGGGATGAAAAATAGATGTTCTGCGATTCTCAGACCTACTGAATATGCATATAAAGTTTCACGAAAATCGGTCGAGCCGTTTTGGGGGGAGTTCAAAAACGCACACCGTGACACGAGAATTTTATATATTAGATTTAATTATAGAGAGTTCCCCACCGTAAGTATCTATAAACTATTTTTTTCCGTCATGTACTAATGCGTACATGACAGTTAAGACATACAAGTTATCGTATTTTAAACTTACCTGGATTATTACATTAGTTTTTCTTTACACAATACACGACTGTTCTTATTGGAAGATGACTCGAGATATGTTTGTGACTATTATTTATTCTGTTGGTAGCAAAAGTTACTTTATGTTGCAGTCAAACATAAAATTTTAGATATCTATAATTCAAGATAGATAAGGTTGCATCACAATAAAAAATGTTCCGTTTGCTGAAAGGGTTCGTATTAGAATAAGAAGGTAGCCGACGATAGAGGAACGAAGGTTGGGAAGTTTTTTTTAATAAATTGACCACTAATAAATTCAAATTCAAACTCATTTATTCAGTCTAGACTGTTACAAACTCTTGTGAAAGCCAAACTCTACGCCATCGGTTCGTAAATCTACGGCGGGAGACCTTGTACTGAGAAGAACCGGCAAGAAACTCAGCAAGGTCAATTTTTTTCTGTTTTGTTTCATACAGTGTCGTCAATTGAAAGATGTCATCAAAAATTTAAAACATGTGTTGATGTCAACTTTTATCACATTAATATTATTAATTAACAATAACTTAAGTATAGCTAGATATACTAATTTTAAATTTACAAGTGGCGATTAAACAATCTTCAACCAAATTAGCAAAGTAAAACGACTTTTTCTACTATATTAAGCCCAAGGTGCCTTATCATTTATGAAATCTTTAACAGTATAGTAACCTTTCTTAAGGAGACAATCTTTTATACAAACTTTAAACTTATTAAAAGGTAAATTAATTATTTTTTTGGTATTTTATTATAGCAACATATACCTTGACCCACAAATGAACCAAGAATCTTTTGGAGTTTGGAATATTATGTATGACCACGAGTATTAGGTATTTATTATAAGGTAATGCGACGGAGCGGCTGGCCAGGTAGAAACCAAGGAGAAACTGGAGAACCTTGTCATTGAACTCAACCAGACTTTTGACCAAATTTCCGAATGAGGCACCAGGAACTTGGTTGAGTTCAATGCTAAGAATACCCAGGTATGCGCTTTCACGGCATGAACGCCGCCATTCCTTCCACTTCCCTCTCTTCAGGGCCAGTGTTGCTCGGCTATGGAAGTTCACTCAGACCTGAATATAAAAGATTACATCGAAACCGTGATCAAAACAGCTTCACGAAAACTCCGAGTCCTGAATAAGATACGCCGTTTTTTCACGCCCGATCAACTGTGCTTGTTGTAAGTATAAGACGCGAGTACGGTTCTGCGTGGAGTATTGCTCGCATCTCTGGGATGGCTCCAAATGGGATGGTTGCAAAGTACCAACACGATGCCTTGGATAGGTTGCAGCGGGGCGCTGCCCGTATCATTGGCGATGTAGAGGTAAGTAACAGCTCGAATCTTTACAATTACGCCACAATGTGGCATCATTAAGCGCATTCGATCAACTATATCACGGCGAGTGTATCCAGGAGTTATTCTCCCTTATCCCACTTTCCCCTTTCCTTAGAAGGACCACGCACGCTGTCCTGCTTTGTCACCGGCTTACTGTGATCACTATTACTACACGTACAAAGAAATTAGGTCACTCATTTCTTTGTCGTACTATTCGCAAGTGGAATTCTTTGCCCGCGCAGATGTTCCCTCCTACCTACAATCTGGGGTCCTTTAAAAGAGGCGTGTTGGAGCATTTCTGCAGGGCGGCAAGGTGAGGATGGTTGGTGTGGCCATTTATAACTGCTGCACCAGCTATCTTCGCGTCTGGTCTTTTCCATCACTTAACATCAGGTGGGGTAGCGTCATTTGCCTACCTGGCTATAAAACAAAACTGCTATCGCTGTAATTTTGATGCAGCCAAGATTCAGTATATCCTGATTCTGAGTTTATTTTCGATTAAGCAAATACAAACAGCAACAGTACCCCAGGCACGAACTATAATAGACCCGTATTCGTATCGCCAACGTCAATGTTTCTATGGAAACTAAGCAGTGCTCCAACCATACGTAAGAACTAACTGGCTTTTTCGATTGAAACGTTGATGATAGTGATACGAATACGTAACAGTCAAAGTTCGTGCTTGCGGTACAGCAGTGCGAATTTCAAATGTGATGTAGAATCGTGACCACGACATTGACAATACTTGCAACATGGATATCGCACTTAATGTCAACGTTACCACTTAAACTGTAACTATCGCGCCTCAGTAATAATTTTTACTTAATTAATATTCTGAGTAAGTAGCTCGTAGGTACACAGAATATTAACTGATGGGACCTTGATTTAAAATTCGGAATTTAAAAATAGATATTCTTTAGAAGTGTACCTTTAAGGTGCAGTGCACATCAGTAGCGGCGCGACGTAGATACTACGCGATTCCAAACGTGCGGCCAAGAGCCACGGAGTAGTGCGCGGCGCCTTTAGCGCGGCCCGGTCTAGAGCCACGGAACAGAGCGACTGCCTAAAACCAATACACAGTGCACAGTACGGTCCAACTCAGAAAAAAATATTTTTAGCTGTCCTGTTTCACCTTCTTGCGCTCTACAAAATGGTCTGGTCCTCGTAGCTCTATGTCGCCTTGAGCCTGAATTATTTTAAGAAGTTTAAACGTAGTAAGATACAAAATAGCACTAAAAACCACATCAAAACACATTATGTCTCAGAAACTAAACCAAAACACAGTAAGCCACATTTGGAAAAAATTCCAATACGTTACGGAGCTGTCAAAAAATTCGTGCTCGGGCTCCTGAGTAGTCACGCGCCGGCTCTCGTGGCTAGGGTTACCATCCGTCTGGATATGTCCCGACTTTAAGACTATAGTCCGGACTTCCGGACTTTGTACGGATCTTTAAATAGTCCGGATTTTTTAAATTATATTAATTATGAATAATAAAACTACATATTGATTTAAATACCATACCATTGTAACTAAGTGAGCAATGGTACCATTTTGTGACCAAAAAGTCCGGACTTTTTTCGAAATGTCAGGATTTTTTGTCAGGACTTTTGAAATTCCTAAATGGTAATACCCTATACGTGGCCACATTACAGCGTCAGACTTCAGGCATAAATCACATAAAATGCCACTACTAGCCAAGATCAGCTGACTTTGCACTATGACTGCTACTCAAACAACTTGTAGAATTGAAGAAAATCTATTGTTTTTCTTTTACGGCAATGATGTATTATTAGTTAAGTTTAAGTATTTATGTGGCATGTATACATAGGTACATTTTATGTATAGAAATGTACGTGTGTGCACGTCACGTAAGTGTGAATGTAATAATAAGTACCTACTTCCAATTCGAGCGAAGAAAACAAAATAGTAAGTAAAAATAAGTACTACCTGGTTAGTTCCTTCATTTTATTTATTTATTTATCCGAAGATAATACATTAAAATAACACAAACTTAAAAACTGTATAGCTTAACCTACTTACCTACTATATAAATAAATAATATACTAAATAAAAAACATAGCACCCCCAGCGCCGCCATCAGGAATGGTGCCCAATAGGCTGGCAGCATTTGCCGCGTTGGATGGCAAGGCTGATCCGTTGACCAAGATAGCTTTTGATTACCAGTCACTTCGGTGAGCCTCTTTGACAATTCCTTAAAAGGGAAACGAGCGCTTGGACCCCATGGGCCCATAGTCTCCACACCAAACGGCATAAATAATATGTAGTTCTCATGAGAGCTGAATATTTGCGCCTCTTGGAGCACTCAGCAGAGGCCGCCGCTGCGCCTGCAGCTAGGGAGGTATGGCACGGAGCAAGCGTGTCCACGCAGGTTGCGTCCCATACAAGAGGACGATCCTACTTCCAAGGAATGAGCGTCATCCCATCAGGTCTCTTGCCATCGTCGCGGAAGATGCCATTAGGCTCAAGGACCGCTGATACGTTGACAGCGACAAGAGCTCTGCGGATGACGTCAATGATGCAGGCGTGGCGGGAGACTAGGCCAGCGCTCATTTGGCATGAGAGGCCATGGGGTCCCAGCTCACCGACGCGAGAACCACAACGGCAGCGATGGAGATGATTAGTCTTGACGCCAAGTCTAAGCGATATCGCAAGAGACAGAGTGCTCTTGTCGAGCAAAGTCCTGATATTGGCTGAAGGTAAAGCTTGCAGCCAGTAACCAGACTCTGCCTGAAATACGGCTAGAAGGCGAGCACGCTCAGTGGGGCTTTCAGAGGATGCTAAAAGATCACTCTGAATACGCAAACAGAGCGGCTCGTCCCACTGCCTCTGAGACGATAAAGAGGATGGTGGATCCACTGGTTAGTTCTTAATTTTTTTTGAGATAAGAAGTTAATAAAATTATGATGAAGCGACAATTACCATAAGACAATCCAAAAATCAAACCAAAAATATTACAAACTTCGTAAGATCTTGTTGAACTTGAAGTATTTATAAATTTACTAGCGGCCGCCCGCGACTTCATCCGCGTCAACTTTTAGTTTATTTTATTTTCTAAAACAAAAGATTTTCTAAAATAAATTTAGCCTAAGTTACTCCTTATGACATCAGCTACCTGCCAAAAAAAGTCCCGTCAAAATCGGTCCAGCCATTTCAGAGATTAGCCGGAACAAACAGACAGACAGACAGACAAAAATAAAATGTTATTTTGGTGTACGTACCGTATATATATTCATATGCATGTAGTAAAAAGCGGTTATTTCAATATTACAAACAGACACTCCAATTTTATTTATAAGTAAAGATGTAAAGATAACAACTCAAGGTTATTTAAGAATATTACGGTAGCTACCAGCGGCGTAGCGTGGGTTTCGGCCGCCCGGGGAAAGGGACAATTTTGCCGACCTCTTATTTAAATGGTTGAAATATTTTTATTACTCATTGTATTAATAAATGTATTGTATTGTTGCCGCCCCCAAAGAAGGCCGCCCCGGGCGGGCCGCCCCTGCCGCCCCCACTACGCTACGCCACTGGTGTGTAGGTATATGCACAAGTACGTACTACATGAAAATGTGTGGAGCTCACGAAGTTCATCCACCTCCACCATGAAGGACAAAAGGAGAGTCCGGAGGAAAGTTCCACCAAAATAGACCTTATGACTTTTTCTATACCTTCGAAGCGTTAGGGTACGGCCAGAGTGCACTCAGATTCAGACGCAGAAAACAAGCGCGAGAAATAAACAGTGTAGTTTAAGCAGGTTGCCAGCTGCCACAATGGTCAGGGTGGCCATTGTGGCAGCTGGCTTTAACTACACTGTTTATTTCTCGCGCTTGTTTTCTGAGTCTGAATCTGAGTGCACTCTGGCCGTACCCTTAGAATAACGCACCGGAAAAAGTGCGTCTGCGAAAAAAAGATAAAAACCGGTCAAGCTACAATATTTTAATTAGAAAACGATTAATTCGATATTTCGATAATAGTGTCGATTCCGGCATGATTCCCTAAAGCTAAACTTTTTGACAACAGTGTATCTCTGTCATTCTCTATACAGAATGAAAAGGACAGACGACACGTTTATATGTTTTTGGCTTAAAGCTATTTTAGCGTGCCGCTACTACGTTTTAAGTTCACAGTGTAGTATATATCGAATCAAAAGAAGGGATATGAGTAAAGCACAGACTATTAGATGCTTAGGTACGCATGTAGGACCAAAAACTTGCGAAACCATGTCCAAAAAGAACAGTTCGTAGAACTAGAACTTTAAATAAGGTTTAAACTTGAAATAAGGCAAGACAAAAGTACCCCTAGCACGAACCATTATCGAATTCGAATAGTTTGCAAAAGCAGCAGCGGACGTAAAGCGAACTAAAAATCTGTACACATTTGACAATGACATTTCGGACTCGCAAACGATACGAATTCATTAATGGTTCGTGCCCTAGCACTGTTCCATGACGTAACGTCTTCAAACGGGTTTCGTGTAGTTGTTCCGATAAATACGCCTCATTCCTGTTCCTAGTTTTTATGTCAAAGTCAATGTCTTTTCGTGGATTCGAGGAGTTTTTGGAGGAATTTCATCGAGTGCGGTTGGCGTCTTATTTTAATTATTCTTAAATTTGTTCATAGTGGATATTGTGAAATAAAATTGGTGTGATTTTGTGTAACAACCGTCTGCGCAACTGAAGAATTAGTGGAATCTTTAAAATATACGCTATTTCGGTCAACTGGACATGACAACTTTATTGTAGTATTGACTACCTCACAGAAGCTTATCGAAAATCGATATATTTCGTGCCAAATACTCCAAAAAACATCACACCCACATTCTAATGTAAAAAAGGAAGATTAATACAAAAATAAGACGTTGGCTGCATGGCTTTGCCTTTGCCTTTCTCAATAGAGAAGAATAGAACAAGAAAAATATTCGTATTTCGTGGATTGGATTTGGATTCGAATTTTAAGTGTTCACGTTTTTGTCTTTTGTTTTATTTTATTTCCAAATAAAATAATAATGGATAGCATAAATGATGCAGAAATGTCTAATATTGGTGATGTTCTCAACGATACAACGAGACCCATGAAGGAGCGGTTTAGAGCTTTGTTTACTTTGAGAAACTTAGGCGGCGAATCCGCAATCAAGTGTATTAGCAAGTGTTTCAATGATGAATCAGTACTTTTAAAGCATGAACTAGCTTATTGTTTGGGTCAAATGCAGGATAAGAGGGCCATACCAGCACTGAGAGCCGTTCTTGAGGATAAACAACAGGACCCCATAGTTCGCCATGAAGCAGGTTAGTTTGATCTTATCTAGAAACAAGAGCACTTAAGATCACAGATACAACTTAGATTGTATGTAATATTTCATTACTAGGTCATACTTACTTACTATTATAACCTACACAAAGCAAAGTTTGCCCTTGAAACGACAACTTAAAATTAATTGTATGCACTTAAAAGGGATGATAGATGATAGTTTCACTAGGTACTCACATAACATATCTGACGTTGGCAGAAAGCGGTTGAGAAAGTGGCATGAGACAGTAGAATTACTGGTGGAAAAATGAATGAAAAAAAAGGAATGTAAAAATATATCTTTTGCGGAACAAATAGAAGCTGTTACTTCAGTAAAAACCATGAACTTGACAAAAGAGCTTTTAAATAATTACTGCTGCCTTATTTACCTTTTTACTTCAACTTTTTCAGGGGAAGCACTAGGAGCGATAGGTGATCCAGACCTCCGTGAGTTATTAGAGCGATACAAAGATGACCCTGCAGTAGAAGTAGCTGAGACATGTCAGATAGCACTGGAAAGGCTTAACTGGGTAGCAAAGGATGGTGCCAGCGAGAAGTTATCAAAGAGTCCATATTCATCGGTAGATCCGGCACCGCCAAGCAGTGAGAATGATGTACAAACATTAAAGCACACTATGATGAATGAGTCTAAACCTTTGTATGACAGATATAGGGCTATGTTCAGTCTAAGAAATATGGCTACCACTGAAAGTATTATTGCTTTGGGTGAAGGTAATTTTAATTCATTTAAATGTAGTTAAATTGATTTGAATAGTAAAACTGATTGCAAAAACTACAAAATTATTATGTACTAAATTCTATCTTTATTATTTGTATTAATCAATGATATATTAGTATTTGTATGAGCCAACATTGTGGCTTGAAGTATTATCCCAGTGATCAGAGAATGTAGGTGATCTTAGACGACATTGCTTAGAAACATGACTTGTTTAGCTCATAGTTTCTAAGTTTGCACCGATCATGTGAGCTTGGCTTTAATGATTATGATCTTTTTACTAAGAACACAGTTGTTGTTTGTATCGAAACAGCAACATATTCAGTGAAAAATCCAGAATTTTATATATTGATCTATTATTGCAAAGGTATTGTCAATGTCAAATTATATCTACTACAAACAATCTCAACCTTTAATAAAATGAAAAATAAGAAGTTTATTTACTTAATATTATTATAATGTCTTTCATATTTTTTTTTAACTCTATTCATAATTATTAACTATATTAATGTATTATTACAAAAGTATTGTCAATATTAAATTAGATCTATCACAAACTGTCTCAACCTTTAATAAAATTAAAGATAATAAGAACTTGATTTACTTAATATTATTAAAATGTCTTTCATAATTTTTTTTTTAACTATATTCAAAATTATTAACATTTCAGGATTCAAAGCAAGCAGTGCACTCTTCAGGCATGAAGTAGCATTTGTATTTGGTCAGATGCAGGATGAGAGAAGCATTCCATTTCTGAAAATGGCCTTGGAGGACACAAAAGAGCATGAAATGGTGCGACATGAAGCGGCTGAAGCCTTGGGGTCAATAGCGACTGATGAATGCATTCAAGTATTGCAGAGGTAATGAAGTACAATGTTTTAAGATTCTGTTCTCACAGAAAGTCCAATATACAAACTTAGGCTACTAACCTACACTCAAGTTTTTCATCAAATAAAATTGTATTATTTCAAGACATTCTCATAAAATGTTAGTAGGGTAATTTCCAAATTTTTGAAAACTCCTTATATTTAAAGATTGGGACAAACGATTTAACAGAAAAATAAAAATTAATTATAATTGAAGTTGAATTTATTTTTAATGGTTTTAAAATTTTCCGCCAAAACGCTCTGTTCGACGACATGTACTGTGTGACGTCAACTTTGTGTAGGTCAAATTTTCTAAACTCTATCTCAAAAAAACAGGATTAGTAAGCGAAGAAATTTGCAAAGTATTATACCATAAATTTATTGCAAACGTAAAAAAAGTTAATAATTTGACCTTCAGATGATTACATAGCATACCTTAGATAGCAAAGAGCCTACGGCGCGTGGGCTCTCAAAGGAACCGTCATCATTAAACAAAAATCAATTGATCTCGGCAAGAAATACCATTTTTTCACATGTTCTGACAAGGACCACCCTACTATCGAACCTGGTCCCTAACTTTACTATCGCAGCAAAGTCAGGGGCTGTATTTACCCTGCTTACTGAGCTATATTTTGATTTGATTTACAAAATCTAGGGGTGGGTGTGCAATCTTAAAATCGAGCAGAAACTTGGCCTGCTATAGATACTGATAGTAAATATTGACACTTGGCACGATAAGGAAAAAAATTGCCTGTCCCTGATCTAAGTACTAGTTTAAGGGAATAGGTGCCATAATCTGAGATAATAGAATAAAGAAACAAACTATAATTAATGATTTGTAATAATGAAACAAAGCTCAAAAACAAATGTATTATAAAATGGTATACTTTATATTTTATATATAATATTATATTTTATATAATATTCCAGATACCTTCACGATCCAAGGCCAGTTGTCAGGGAGAGCTGCGAGGTGGCTTTAGACATGTCTGAATATGAGAATAGCCCTGAATTCCAGTATGCTAACACTTTACTAGCGGTTAAAGCACAGGGCTAAATCAGATGCACAATATCCAATGACTTTACATTTGTGTTGACATCTTAGAAAAAAATGCTTGAACCATGTCCCAGCATTTTGTACAATATGAAAACTCAAAATGTTTTTAGTTTTTTATGAAAGCAGCAGATTGCATTTTCGGAGACTAGGTATTTTGTCCTAAAATGTTACCATAGTTATTTATTTATAATGTTAATTTATTTCTCTATTCAATATTGGTTTTGAAAAACATTGCCCAATGGGTAAAAATTTATTGTACATTTTGAGATATTATATTTATCACTCTACCTTATGACTTGTGCTGTGTTCAAAACCTCCCATTCTTTTAATTTTATGTACTTAACAAATTTAACTTGCAATTGGATTGAATAATCTTTTTGCCTACTTAAATAAAGATGTGGTATTTTTGATACTACAGTAGTTTTTTTGCCTACTTAAATGAACATGTGGTAACAGGCAAAATTCCCACCATATATAGCTAGCTAGTACCAAAACTTTTATCTGATTCACCGAATAGCCAATTTGTGAACAGGCAGCTTTATATTGACCAATGAACTGCTAGCTATACTAAGCTAACCAGTACTTTGCTGTGCTATATAGCCCTTTTAGTTAATAATGAAGAAGCCTACTGGGGAGGCACTAGATCTCTTATTTCGCAGTGGCTTGATAATAAAGGACAGTTTCTATTTATAATCAATGATGTCCGAAAATGAACTCTATTTTGTCAACTAAAGGATCTACTTTTACGAACGCCGCATTCCTTTGCTCATCCTTACTGTTGGAGGCGCTTGTGTGAAATGCAAGAAGAAAAACGATATGAAAAACCGATACAACACCAGTGCCCAAAATGTGTCCCAAACAAAGTAATGCTTAAACCTATTCCTTATTACCACAAAAAACTTAGACATGCCATCAACACGAGTTTAAGAAAAAGTCATACAAAATTTGCCTAAACAAGGTGAAACAGTGACTAGCTTTTTTGTAGTACACTGATTGTTTTTGCTTACGTGATCATTCAATGTAACTTTAGGTTAGATTTCGGCTACGATCGATTTGGGACGAGTTCTTGATGTTGTATCTAGGGTTTTTAATATCGTTGGAAAAACGAGTCAATCTTAGTTTTCATATATTCCCGCCTTTTTAGTGATTTATTTTTCTTTGACAACATCCTCCTTTTTGCAATGTAGTTTTTGTTGTGTTTTGTATGATTTCTTAATACCATTTTCAGTATTCCAATACCACAAGCCATAACCATTTTCGATTGTACGTAACTTTGTCAACGAAATACTTGCAGGTTATTCGAGACTCGGGACCCACACACATTCATAATTATTTTTTATGTTATGTAAATTGTGCACCTACTTGCTTTGTGGGATTCGACACAGAGTAGATTAACATAGTCTTATGTATTGCATAATACATAAAACAAAGTATGAGTAATTGTCATTTGCCTGTTATTTGAATTATTGTTAATAAATTGTAAAGTTAATACGAACTTATTTGTTTTCTTTTTTTGCCAATAGGTGGCAACAAACACCGATGGTCACGCAGGTATATTAAATAAGCATTAGAATCTGATTCGGTAATTGTCATATTATAAGCAAATTACAATAAGACAATTTGACAAAGATAGTTGGCATCTGTATTTAATATGTACATTTGCAGCGATTTTACTATTCTGAGAACAAATCCTACTTTTATTATAAACATGAAAGTTTATACGTATGTTGATTTGATTGTATGTTTATTACACATTCACGCTGAAATGTTTCGGAAATTTTATACGCATATATTTTATGATCTGGATTGAGACACACAATACTTTTTATTCCAGAAAAATGTTAAATTTTTCACCGAGATTCACGGTTGACCTTTTATTACAGTTTGTATGCCTGAGCGCTGAGTGCTCTCCGCCCTCTATCTAGAAAAGGTTGAGCGTATAGAATAAATGTCGAGGCAAGAGTTGTGGCAATATTTTTGGAGTTTACTCCTTAAGAATCGATTTGCATATAAAAGGGGCCCGGTATGAGAAAAATGTGAGGAGTAAAATCTACTGAGCAAATGACCTCGTTACGTTTTTGTGCGCAACCTCATTTGCGCAGCGGGTGGACTGAGTGATCTTTTCAAAAAACTCATCCATCTACAACAAAATTATAAGAGGATTTAAGAAATGTGAAAACTTAATGGTAAGGTATAAAATTTGTGAAACCTAAACAAAGACAGAACTAATTAACTGGATCACTCAATCTGGACACCTGAAGAATAAGATATAACGCCTATCCAAGAGAATACTACATATGTGTTTATAATTTGTATTTGAAATAATTGTGAAGAATTTGTGAAAGCTGCTAAACAAATTTTCGATTCATTTGAAAGCCACGTTTAAGATTTAGAACGGTTTATATGGATCACTCAGAATGCACTATGTTCATTTGAGTGATCTTTTAAAACACTATCTTATACTGAAAAAGTATGAAACATTATCATGTTTATTATAAATTATGCTTCTGGGAAAATTTGTGAAACAAAGATCGGGATTGAAATCTTACTGGTTTAAGAGAAAATGAAAATCGTGTTTGTTCTCGATCGTAAATCTATCGATGAATGACATTAATGAACTCGTTACGTTTTTGTGCGCAACCTCATCTGCGCACCTTTCACTTTTAGCCATGGCAACGGATAAAAAACATTAAGTTGTCACAAATGTCAATAAAATAAATAAACTAAAAATAGATAAAATCGGAGCAAAATTAATGAAAACAAATAAATAACAGAATATAGAGAAATGCCGGTAAGTGTCCAGCACTCTGGAATAGTGATTTTCAGTACAGATGGAATTATAATACATATTTACAAAATGATGACTAGTGTGTGATATTTTTGAAATTGTGTGTTTCCAGAAATACATAATAAAATATATGATGAATATCGAAGATGTTAGATGATAAAATGTGTGACATGGAACCTATGATAGTCGAAACCATGGGACGATTCCTGAGGTATCTCTACTTATAACCGACTTCTTCGGACTTGATTTTGTTTTGTGTCTGTTCAAAGACAATCGTTTTTAGAGTGTAAACTCCGGTCGTGCGTCGGAGCTGACACACACAATTTTTTTTTATCTTTAATTTACATAATAGGTGTTGAAGTGATTGGAACCATAGAAACGGAGATAATTGCAAAAAATGCGATTTTCGTGACCTTTGACCTCGAATAACTTACTCGCAGACGCGAGATAATATGAGAATTTTGAGTCAACTTTAAAACGCCAAAATGAAGCTGTACACGAGTTTCCAGCTCATTATCTCAAATTCCGAGGTGAAACCCTAAAGTGACTGGACTATCACGCTTATAACAAAGTTGTGAAATAAAACAAATCTTGATAGTGGCTATATTTTATGATCCTATATATTTTCAAACATTTATTGCTTACATTCATGACCAACCGTCGAAAAAAGGCAGAAGACCTATGTAGTTTTTTTTGCTTTCCGGTGTAACTACATTTTGAATGAGTGCAAATGAATATTACATGACTTAGTTTTACTATACAATGCTCATCAGTAGTATAAAAATATTGATGTTAATTTTGAGTGTGATATTATTGCCAGTGGTAAGTTCATTAATTATTGATTTTTTTTTATTATTATAGAGCTACAATAAACCACATTACTTGGTTAATGGTAAGTGTTTAGTAACCATTGAAAAAATACGTGTCCAATACTTTTTGCTGATCTACCTGGTAGATGAAGAAACACATTTTTTTTGAGTGTGTATGCTGTTGGTCGCAGATGACCTTTACAGCGTCACCGGGTTTGGGGACGGCGAGATCCTAAGGGGACCTCAAGGCGAGAAATGGCTAGTGCCTCTAGAGGTATTCCAGGCGGATTTCATCTCCCCACGGGGGAAGTCTCCTCTCCGTCTGGAGCCTCTAGACCACTCGAAGCTGAGGGGTTCGGCTCAACTAGAGGGCGTCTCTGAGACTCTGACCTCGGCTCTAGTTAGCCGTTGTCGTGGGGGGCGAAAGAAGAAACACAAGTTAGTTATCATTAATATTTTAGGGTGGGTAGAGATGTATTTAAGGTGGCCATTGTCGCTCTTCAAAAAGATCCTCAGTTAAAAAATGCGCTTACGTGCACGTAGTGGTACACGTAGTACGTACGTAAACACGTACGTACACGTAATGGTAAACAAAGTCTTAAGTCCTTTAGCCCCACCAATGTTTGGTAACATCAGAAATAATCGCTAAAACGGCGTAAACGCTTTATAGATGGCCGACCTGTTGGAAGAGGAGCGTTCTTCGTTCTTCGGGTTCACCCACGAGATTCCCATCAGCCTATCAACGATAGAATTGGTGCAGCAGATTACCGCTGCCATAGGAGAACACGCGGAGGGTGACAGGACAGTGAGAAGATACTTCGATAAGTTTGAAACACCATTTATTGAGGATGATAAAAAGTGACTTATGTACCTTAAACTTAAAGTTTTGTTTTCATTATTAGGGAACGATGGTGCTCAAATTCAAATGCTTCTAATGTCACCCGGGTAGAGTTTAGATTTCTATACATATAAAATAAAAGTCCTGACAAGTGTTCGTTTCTCTGAGCTGTTTACTGCCTAAAACGTAACAATGACATTTCGGACTCGCAAACGATACGACTTCGATATTGGTTCGTGCTAGGGGTACTGTACTACAAACTATTATCGAATTGCAATAGTTTGGAAGTGCGAAATGTCAATGTCAAATTTTGTATGGAAACTTGAACAACAGCACCACAACGTACGTAACGGAACTAAAAATCAGTATACATTTGACAATGACACTTCGGAATTGCAAACGTTACGAATTCGATATTGGTTCGTGCTAGGAGTATCTACTGTACGCCAGGTTGAATTAGACAGCTTTGATTTCTTTGCAATCCTTCCACACTGATATTGCTGTGCCAACTTTTGGAGTTTACTCCTTAAGAATCGATTTGCATATACCTATAAGGGGCCCGTATGTATGTATGAGAAAAATGTGAGGAGTAAAATCTATCGATGAATGACCTCGTTACGTTTTTGGTGCGCATCCTATGTCGCGCAACTTTGACAAACAAAGATGACGGATTGACATTAATAAATTTTTTAAAAGCTGAACTGAATTTAGA